CCATTTCGGACCTTGAGGTTCTGGAACTTCCTGTGCATCTTGGAAATAACTTTTGATGGCCTGAAGATGTGCTGCTGATGGCAGATGTGTTCTTCCTCTCACCTTCCAGATCTAAAGTGGGACAGAAACCCCATTGCAGAATGTGACCAGCAGGATTCCGTTGACCTAAAATATGGATCCAATCTTTATAATGGGTTCCTCCTCAGTTTAAGTGGATCGTTCCTTCTGAAAGACTGATTCCTTTTGCCAGTTGAAATAATACAAAGAGATCTCCTCTAAAATCATCTTTTCAAATCCTTCACGGTCTGTCACCCCATTTGGAAGGACCGTGTCGACAGAGTTTCTGTTATAGAAGGCCTGTGTAGAAGGACCCCTCCCCCATTAATAATACAACACCCCTATTCTGTTGTTTGAGGGGAAGCAGTGACTGAGTGTTCACCTCCCAGATCTGTGTTCACCTAGGAGAAATGGCTCCCGATTCAGTATGGTCACATACAGCATCAGCTAAGAGTTTCTCTAATTGAAATATACAGGGTTTTCTGGTATAGTCACAAAACAAAGAGACAGATGAAGGTGGAAAGGATGGATAGACTAGAAAAATGTGAATTTTTGTGAGTTCCTGTTGAAGGCGGAGCATCCATGGGTGGGAGGAGTCCGTGGTGTTACGCATCATCAGTCTTAGCCAAGGGGAGTAGGTAAATGAAGCATTACATGGGCAATCCTTGGACCTCTGGAGCTGTTAAGCCAGAATACCAATGAGAAAATCCTGGCCTGCTTGCCCTGTTTCATTTGGATTAATTAGAGCATAACACCCAAATAGCCAAACTGGCTGTTGGAGGCCGTCCAGATAACTTCACGGGCTACGGTTGGGAATGGGGACACAAAAGAAGTGATGTCACCACTTGTTTCAGGCGTAAGTGCATTGTTAATCATGTTTACACATCGGTTAGGCTTTAATTGAACAAATCCATCGCAGGTGGTGTTGACTCAGCCCGGTATCAGTGTCTGGATGACGCCCTCGGGTGAAGTGAAGGCTGAGCTCCGGCTGGGGAGAGTTACCAAAGCTCAGTGCTGCTCCTACCTGCACCGGGTCCCATCAAAGACAGAAACGCACACAATCTCCACCCAGCTATTTGCATTTGTCCTTATGGAAGCCCTGCATAGGATTTTACTGCCACGTTAAAGAGGCGTTCGCTCCCTGCATATCACGGGACGCCCTCCGCCTCCGCGGTGCACCTCCTCCAATCACGTCTCATCATTTGAAAATTTCCCAAAGCCAATTGCTTTGTTTTTGTGTTTCGTTCTTGTGAGGATCCAGGCTGCAGATGACTGCTGTCCTGTCTGGGCACCCGGCGAGCTGCAGCATGTTTATTTGTAGAAAAGCACAAAAGTTTCACGGCCAGCAGTTTTCTGGTGCTCGCTGACAAGTACAGGGCTTTCAGGAAGGTCGAAATGGTCGTGGGCGATGGCCAACTTGCCCTAGTATAGGATTGTCCTGCCAGGGGCCCCCATTTGTTCCGGCATTCTGTCGCTGCGCTTAAGGCCCCCCCGGGGGCGAAGTGGGGTTGGGGAGGCAGGCGACTTTCCACTATCCCGGCCACAGAACAGACTCCCGGATGTGGAAGCTGCCTTTACATGCCGGAATGAAAAACCCACAGAGTTGCCCTTTTATTTTTGACATGTGGTCGGCTCTTAAATGGAAGTCGTCTTTCAGGAAGGCCCACGAGCTCCTCTCTCTCTCAGCAGAGCAGCAACCTCATCCATAACCTCACCCCCCCGCCCCTCCAGACATGGAACGCGAAGCCACATTTATGTTTTTGAAAAGTGGATCGCCCATTGTGGAATTTTTCTAACTGTTTACGTTCCTTCAAGACAAAAAGGGTGAAGTTAATGTCTTCCCACAAAGTCATGCTACCCGTGTTTGTAGTATCTAAATCAGCCTTACAGTCTGTGCTATTGATGAAACTGTAGTGAACTCTCCTGCCAATCACATATTTCAGAGCAATCGGGCTGATTAATTGTGCACTTTGAGTCTGAGGCTTCAGTGCAAATCCTATCATGTGTCTTAAACCAACAATCATCAACATAATATAACTAAGAAAACAACTGTCCATTTTCCTTTGTCTAAAATGACATTTCGAGTACAGTGAACCTACTTTATTGGGGTCTGTAACAACAACTTCAGCTCTCAATTTTCTCAGCAGGCTTATTCCCAAACAGGCTGCCTGTCTACAGCTGATGGAACGGGTCGTGGTCGTTTAGGACACCTGTCATTTTTAAATGCTTTACGAACCTTGTCTCTGGGGTGGGACTTTGAAGGAAGAAGTGGTTGTTTGGCAAAGCAGTAGCATTTGGAAGCATCGCTACCTACTAATTAGAGACCAGGACACAGGGGATTGGTGACTCATGCTGCTTGAAATGGCTGAAATTCATGCTGATTGGCCAAGTGCAGCTGACCTTTACACACCAACCGGGACTGAACCAACAAGAACAAACAATTTTTTATTTATATATATATACATTTATATGACAAGGGTTCCCGTAGTCATCGTGGCCAGAGCCTCAAACAAATGCCACAGGAAAATCTCCCCTGGTTTGATACCGAAGACCTTGAAGGCACAGTCAATGTTGGTGTTTGCGCTTCACCATGAAGAAGATTTTCAGAAGACAGACAGAAATGTGCGTGTGCACACTTGTGTTGTGGATGAAAGACCTTGTTACCCTGGTAAACCATCCCTATTTGTACACAGTGCAATTCGTTACCAAATTTTAAACCGATATGATTAATTTAGAGAGACAAAGTTAAATCAGATGTTGTTTTTAAATGTAGTTATTAGGTTAGAATTACAAATAATATAACTCAGGCTCAATTACCCATAATGCATTTCTTCATTTATAGAAGTTTCTGCTCACATCTTTTCCCCATTTACTGTGGTCGTTGCTCATATTTACAGTAATGAACAGTGATATTTAATGCATGATTTTTGTTTCTTTTTCTTCTGTGAGGAGTATGCAGGGAGTGTAGTCGTTCTTGAAGACTTGGAATCAATCTTCAGCAGACTTTTTAACTGTAATCTTGAGAAAGGTATTTAATCTGATCTGCTTCACCAAAATGCCCATCCATGAAGTGCTAAACTCATAAAGAGAAATGAAAGGAGGAGGACTGAGAAAAGCAATGAAAATATGTTCAGATAAATCTGGGGACTGACAGGAGTCAGTGGAAAGTGAGTCATGTCGCTGATGTTTATTTGCTTTCCTCTTTTGTCTGAGTGCATTATCAGTGCCCTAAACATCTTGATCATTGCTTCTTTCAGAACAGAGAGCATATTGTTTGTGGTAACAGAAAGACAAACCATCCCTCTTGTTTAGGAATTTGTACTTTTAGGCCTTTTGTCCTCCAAATGAGTTGAGGGCTGTTCTGTGGTTTCTCCGTGGATTCCTAACTCTCACAATCATGTGGGTACCAATGCCTCCTCGCAGACGATGACGGGCTGACACTCAAAGTAAACACGCTGAGTTGGTGGGGGGCAGAGGGGGCATTGAATTCCAGATGAGGACAGACTTAATTAGGGGGCACACAGTGTTGGTGGGGGGCTACACTGCCTAGAAAAGACTGGAAGGGCTCTCCGTCCCCCGAGAAGACTCATCAGAGTTCTTCTGCGTAATTATCGTAAACTTCCTCCAAAGACCACTTACTAGCCACACTGAAAGATTGCATTCTTCCTGTGAAAATTGTGTTAAGGTGTAGTGTGGAAACAAGTGAATAAACAGAGAACATAAATATTGAAAAGCTGTATGAGAGAGCAGCGGCGATGAAAGGCAGACAGACCAGAGTTAGAATAACTGTAGTAGAGACGCCAGTAGGCCTGCCCAGACCTGCAAACCTGGTGATTATAGTCAGAAGATAGGCCGCGTAACGTTTCGGCTTACAGACATTTTCTTCAATAAAACAAGACATGCAATAATACACTGTGGGTCCTTTATAAGGTACACTTCAAATGTCATTTACAGGATTATTTAAAGGGCCTTCTCATGCAGACTGTGAACATACACATGATGTAGGCCTCACTCATTTTATTAACTGCTAAGAGAAACCAAAGGATGTTAAAAACATCTAGATGCTTTATTTCAACCACACATACCTTCGAAAATTATAAATTGCTTTGCGTTAATTAACTAGCGACACTTCTTTCACGCTCAGGGATCGATAAAATAAAAATTACATATGCTAGAGACTGTAAGCAAAAAATGTGGGGGCAAAAAATAAATGACAAAGATCATATTTACGCGGTAATAAGACAAGCCTTTGAACGACATTATTTATTGTTTCGCACTGACATATTACCAAGAAAAATCATCTGGATGTCATATGAAATTATTTAAAAGGCGGTATTCAAAGATGGTCATTTCTTTTTGTCTCATCGCCGTCTGCGTGTTTTTCTCACTGACTGCTGTGTCCTGCACTATTGGCTTTATAGAATTTTTCTAAATTGTGGTGGTTGATGTGGAGCAAACGAATAAAATGTTGGATCTGAAGCTTTCGAGGATCGCACTTTCCAACACCGGCGAGAGATCTTTCTTTTTTCTCCGGTGTTTTACTTAACTCCTTTCTTAAGGCATTTCATCCACTAGATGGCGCCCATCCGAGATTACGACAGTCTTTCTTTTTTTTTTTTTTAAAGTGTCAGTTTCGATAAGTATGTAAAATGCACACCTGGTTAACGTGAAACAAAGCCAGAACTTTACCAGTGTGTGACAAAATGCTGTATACGTATCGATTTTCTAGTAATTTTCAGCTTTTGCAATATTGTATTGTTATGAAATTTCAATCCATAATTATTAATCGGTTATCGCTGCTGTTAAGTTATGAAAAATGGGGACTGTCATATACCCACGCGGTACCTCAAGGGGATAACTCCATATGTTCAAGGACAGATTTAACAAGAATTTAACACTGCACGTGTTATCGTGAGACCTTACCCAAAACAAATCTAATTTGGCTTATATGAATCAATTTGGAAAACAATAAATAGTGAGAATAGTAGATCGTACAATTAGCATAAAAAAGAGCTTTAAAATGAATACCCCAAATTCCTACTTCAATCCTGAACAGTTTCCCAGTAAAACAATATTAAAATAATAATTATAAGCACTCGGTGGAGTGACGACGCAGAATTCACTCCTACATCATTTCACTGACAGATCGGCGTGCGATGGTAAAGTTTGACTGGAAACCAGTCGCTCCATGCCTGCTTGTGCAGGTTGAAGCCATTGCCTGGGTTTCCTGTCACATGATGCGAAATAGGATCCCTATCTCCCCCCTCCACCCCGCTATCTCGGGCGTCCGTGCGACTCACATCTCCGCCGAGGGTCCAGACGCTCACGGCCGGGCGTTTGCGGACACCGCGGCGGCGCGGCTTGACATTTCAGTCCGTGCGGCTGCCCCAAAGCGAGTCACCTGCGGTCCGTCCCACCCCCCTACGCCCCCCCATCCTGGTCCTGCCTTATCCCGAAAGGACGGCGCACACTCCGCAGACCAAAGCCAACCATGGATCCTTCGCCGATCGTTGCGCTTTTCGTGGCTGCCTTTCTATCCGCGGCGACATCTGATGCCTTTCAGACGGGTGAGTTATTAGGGCAACTTTTTGGATGATGGTCTCGGTTGAGTTTGTCAGTGAATTCCCATGAAGGGATGCCTGGGGCACAAAGCTGACCTTGAATCAACTTCAGTGAGTTCGGAACTTCTTGCAAAAAAAAAGAAAGAACAGCAGCTTTGGCAAAGTACGGTTTCTTTACTCCATATTTCTGCTTTCTCATAACTTTCTCACAAGCGACGTGCGGCGGTTCAGCCGACCCACAAGCAAACGTATTGGATGCGGGATGTTTTGTTCCAACTAGAAGTGTGTGTGTGTGTGTGTGTGTGTGGGGGGGGGGTGTCTTGTAACCAAATGCATGCGATACAGTGAGTCCATGCCCAAATTATCGTTAATCATACGGCATATTTAAAAAGAACGAATAGCTGTAGTGATCCCAGATTTTTACACGACTCGTCATTTATTCGTTTCAGTGTCTCATTGGAAGGAGAACTGAGAGTAGAAGTGAAAACGCGGGTTGTATCAGATGCGTTATTGAAACAGTGTGGCTGGTGTCAGATGTAGATCGCAGTGCATTTAAGACGAAGCGCCGTTTGTCTAGTAAAAGGCGCATCGCAGTCTCGCCTTTTAAACCGGGAGACTCGTTAACTACAGTCAAACAAATTACTGGCATCCCTCTCTTATTTGGCGAAGCCACAGCTGTACGGTTTGCAAATGTTAAAGCATCGAGGAGATATAAAGGGCTGCAGCCTGGGTTTGATCGCGTTTATATGCGATGCGGACACCAGACCTGCCATCGCCAGCTTATGTTTTGCCCAGATTTAAGGCACGCGGATGCCCCGTTTCCCAAAGCGCGCGCATGCACGGGGATTTCGTTTCAAATTAGTTTCTCTCGGGGAATAAAGAAATTATTCACTTAAATATTCAATAACTACCGCATAACCCGGCGTTGTCTTACTGTAATTTGTGTAGTGTTTCATGTTTAAAAAGCAAATCCTTGTGCTTTGCTTTTTAATTTTTTTGTTTCTTAATTATAGCCTAGAATTAAAATTAGAGGTTTTAACCATCTGGGAACTGTAAGTATCGCCATATGTACCTCTGTATTAACAGTGTATTTAAAGCCACGGCACTCTTTTTAACGTTTACAGTATAAGTTCACTGCCCAAACCTGTATAAATTGCTAAATATCTGTATGGAAACATCTCTACTTTAGACTATATGTGCTCTTAGATAGGCTAGTATATTTGATGATTTGTATTGCAGTTGCTGACCCGATTTTTAGAAAGGACTGCATTCGGCATGATGCGTGTTAAAGATAGGATAAGTCTCATTTCGCATTCAGTCTGCCACCAGCGTTTATGATTGTATTTACTCTGTAAACAATAATGCCCTGCATTAAACACGCTTGTCCACTCGTGCGTGTTATGTTTTCTTTCTTTTTTGTCGCTTTGGTGTTCTTTGTTATTGTCAATGCAGCGTGTTTTGTAAGTCCTGAATTATTGCGGGTTAATTAATAATTCATGAAAATGTAAACGGCCTTTTTAAACATACGCAGGAAATTCAGTTAGAGAATGGACCCCTTTCTGCCAGATCGTACTGACTGAGGCAGAATGAAAGATGAGAGAAACTAAAGTCTAACTAGATGTGCGAAGCCAGGAATTTAATATTGGTGCTGAAAGATAACGATGAGACAGATAGCAAGACAACGAGTTGTGTTATCAAGTCGTAATGAAACGGCAGGACCGGTTTTTCCTACAATACTCACAATATGACAATATGGCAGATAAAGGCTGCGAACCGGCACTTTTAGCCAGGAGCGCTTAGAAGAGGAAATCTCCTGTTGTCTCTTTTGCAGAGTTAATCTCTGTCGCGTTGCTTGTTCCTTATTCCACCATTAAGGATGCTTCTCAAGACCTGACTATTGTAGAGTAAAGAACTACAGCTAATTAACCCGGAGTTGTAAGATAGCTGGAGCTCATGACGTGTCTATTCAGGATGGCATGGTCATCATGGTGCTAAGGGTAAGTTTTAGTGGGCCTACCAAGCCAGGGCAGCGTGAGAAGGAGTGAGAGGTCCAGCCGTTTCGCCCTGACCTTTGCATCGCTGTTCCCCAGACGCACTACAGTCAGGAATTTAAATGGAAATCCATCCTACGTCAATCCGATCATCAGCTTTCGTAGCCACTGGGATGCGCACGGTTGCCGCTTGAAAGCCTCGATTGTGGTGACGGCTGATTCGTCCAGAAATGAGTGCGAGGGTTTTGAAGGAGGCGTTTCTATTCAACCAACCGTCGCCATTCATCACAATGCGTCTTTTGCTCGTAATTCTCCATGAATGGGACCCCCCCCCCCCTCGTGGGTTCTCATTGCACGTTTCAGTGTTGGGCGGAGGGACGTCTATCTATCTATATACCTGTCTTTCAGTCAGTCTGTCTGTCGATGTGGGGAAAATGTCAAAGGGGACTTTATGCTGACGATGGCACACATGTCGCGTTTTGTACCGTTTCACGCACGGTGAGGGACAGGCTGCGGCGAGGTGCCCGGAGCTGAGAAATAAAGCAGGTTTCGTTTGGAGTCACTCTGACCGAACCCTAATAGACACACCGTCCATGGGAGGGCAGGATGTGCTTACGCGCAGATCGCCGTATTTCAAGGAACAAAAGGGAGTACCGTCAGGGAGGACAAAGCACGGCCAGTCACGAAATGTGCCGAAAGTACTTTATAAACAGATATGCCCTGCCAGAAAAACCCATAGGACAGGATGTTGGAATGAGACTGTTTACTTAATTTGCGCGGGGAACTGGGAGATCATGGTGCTCAGACTGATCCCTTTCTGCTTTTATGAAAACGGTGCAATTTGTACCAGGATGCGTTAGCGAAAAATCCTCAAAGTTTTCTTAGCAGTGTGGGTTGCAAAGAAATACATGCAGGCTTATCTTTTGATTTTCTGTATTTGTTTTTTTTTTTTTCAAATGATTGTTTGCACTTCCATTTATATGTCTAAAATAGTTTGTACGGACGAACAGGGTAACCACAGCTGTTTGTGCTTATTACAGACTCTGAAGCCCGTTTTGATCGGCTGCTGTGAGACTAACGGGACATGAAAGGATTTGTCACAGTTTGTCACGCTTTTCACCCACGATTTCCATTCCCGCTAGTGTATGAGTGTCAGCTGTAGCAGTCACAGTCAGCTAAAGCAAACTTTAAAATGTTGGGGGAAAAACACCCGCACTGTAGCAGTAAGGGTATAAGTGAGACGAACAGTCCCGTTTTGTGTCTGTTTTAATTTGTAGAAAAGTTTTGAAGCCTGTAAAGGAGGTCTTTCTTTCTGAGGCCGCTCCACTGAGCTGCCATTGGCCGTTTTCGGTCATGTTTTTTTTTTTTTCTTCACCAGCCAGGTGAGTTTCTGGGTGCTCTTTATCTCTTTATCTGAGTTCTATGTATAAGCCTATATAAATATCTATAAATTATGTACTGTGTTTTAAAACAGCGTGCCACACCAAAGGCGTTCATGCCATTGTTATAGGTCAGACGTGCCCCCACCCCAGAAGCAGGTGACAGTCCCCAGGGTTGAGGTGACCCCCCCCTCCCCCCAAACATACCACTCCAGTCTGCCTTGAATAGCACCCTCCCTGCTTCCAGTTATCAGCCTGTTATGATTGTGTAATCCCCACAAGGTGGAGTACAACCCAACCAAATTCCCTTCTGTTGCCCTGCAGAGTAATAGGACTTGGAGGACAGTAATTACAGGTCAGTGCTATAGTGGTGTAAGTGTGCATCGGGCAGTTGGGGGTAGGGAGGGGGGATGGGAGGGGTAGGCTGGCAGCCCACAGGCTTGGCATGTGGGCCCCACCCTCAGGCTTGGGGAGCCTGCCCCACAGATGTGGTTCCGGTCTTCCGGTCCCCCCCCCTGGCAGCTGGCGGCAGCCCCATCACACACACTGTTCCCGTGATGGGAAATCCCACACGAGCCGTGTCAGTTTGCCTATGAAAAGGCAGCCTGGCCTACAGAAAAGGCAGCTGGGTTTACAGAAAAAGAGGCCGGGTTTACAGGAAAGGTAGCCTGGCTTACAGGGAAGGCGGCCAGGTTTACAGGAAAGGCAGCCTGGCTTACAGAAAAGGCAGCCAGGTTTACAGAAAAAGAGGCCGGGTTTACAGGAAAGGTAGCCTGGCTTACAGGGAAGGCGGCCAGGTTTACAGAAAAAGAGGCCGGGTTTACAGGAAAGGTAGCCTGGCTTACAGGGAAGGCGGCCAGGTTTACAGGAAAGGCAGCTGAATTTACAGAAAAGGGGGCCGGGCTTACAGAAAAGGCATCCTGGGTTACAGAAAAGGGGGCCGGGCTTACAGAAAAGGTGGCTTGGCTTATAGAAAAGCCGGCCGGGCTTACAGGAAAGGGGGCCGGGCTTATAGAAAAGGGGGCCGGGCTTACAGAAAAGGTGGCCTGGCTTACAGAAAAGGCAGCTGAATTTACAGAAAAGGGGGCCGGGCTTACAGGAAAGGGGGCCGGGCTTATAGAAAAGGGGGCCGGGCTTACAGAAAAGGTGGCCTGGCTTACAGAAAAGGTGGCTTGGCTTATAGAAAAGCCGGCCTGGCTTACAGGAAAGGGGGCCGGGCTTACAGAAAAGGCATCCTGGCTTACAGAAAAGGGGGCCGGGCTTACAGAAAAGGTGGCCTGGATTACAGAAAAGGGGGCCGGGCTTACAGAAAAGGTGGCTTGGCTTATAGAAAAGCCGGCCTGGCTTACAGGAAAGGGGGCCGGGCTTTCAGGAAAGGGGGCCGGGCTTACAGAAAAGGCATCCTGGCTTACAGAAAAGGGGGCCGGGCTTACAGAAAAGGTGGCTTGGATTACAGGAAAGGA